TGGTTTTTAACCCACTGTAGCACTGCCTCATTATCTGACCATACCACTGTTTCTTCAAAGTGGATGTTCCTTAAGTCCTTGATCAGATAATGAGCCAATCTTATTCCTACCAGTAAGGCTGTTAATTCCAGTTGTGGCAATGATCGTTTCTTTAATGGTGCCATTCTGGCCTTTGATGTGAGCATATTGGTTTGCCCATTTGAGACCAGGTAAGCTACTGTGCCATAAGCCTTTCCTGAGGAATCACAGAATACATGTAGCTTGATGGATTCCTTTTCATTTACTGTGTTCTGAGGGAACTTGACAGACTCTAGGATACTTAAATCTTTCACTAGCCCTTGCCATTTTTCTTGTAAGGTAGGTGTTAGAAGCCTATCTAATCTATAGCCTATCTAAAAAGTCCCAGCCTATCTTTTGTTGCCAACATTCCTGCATTATCAACTTCCCATTAATTAAGATGGACGTAATAGTCCCAATGGGTCAAAGGGTATGCTGACTTGTGAGAGTAATTTTCTCATTGTTAGGTTGGTGGTATTTGGCTCCACCGACTTGATTGTCAACTGATCTGCTGTCGTATCCTATTCGACGCCTAGTAATTTTGTCTTCTCGGGTACCTGGTAATCAGGAAAATCAGTTTCGATCAGTTGATTTAATTTTGTATTGTTGGAGACCCATGACTGGAGAGGCATATTTGCTCCCAGTAATTCTTGATTGGCCTCGTGGTATATGTTCAGCAGTTTACACCCACTGCTGGTTGTTCCTTGGAAATTGTCCACATACAAGTTATTGCTAATTTCTGTTTTATTTGGGCTATTGGACTTCTTCAAGTGCGTGTCAAAGGTAGCTTGAAGCAGAAAGAGGGAAGACGTGGCACCAAACAAAACAGACGCAAACCTGTAAGTGATTAATTCACTGTTTGGATCATTAGGATCCTTAGGATCCTTGGATCATTAGGATCCATGCTGCATTTTCAGCCATGTTCCCCCTTTTTTATCTTTATTTTTATTTGTTCTCAACACATTTTATTCTTTATACTCAATTGGTATTAAGTTTTAGTCATTAATGTTTTTCCTGCCCGAAACGCTTTGTGTAATAGTGGCTTTAGGCATTGTATGTACTAGCTCCATCTGTATATCGATCAAATTATGTAAAATCTCTTGTATGTATGTACCTTACCTGATTTTTTTTATTTTTAATCCATAGGAACTTTGTGTAGTTACAGTCTTCTTCTTGGAGACCTACCCTAAGGAAGGCTTTACTGATGTCTGCCGTGTATGCGTAAGTCCAGATGTGGAACTTTAACAGCACATCGTACAGCCTTTGTGTCAGGCTAGGGCCAGTTTGGAGGCAGTCATTTAAGGAAACACTATTCTGCTTTGTCTTAGCACTGCAATTAAATACTGTCCATAGTGGGGTAGTAGCTGAATTTTTCAGTACAGGATGGTGTGGCAGGTAGTGTCCTTCCTTTGGGTTATCATTTGTGACAACTTTGATAAATTTGTCATCGAGTTGCTTCTTGATTATTTCATGGTGCAATTTCAAGTTCTCAGGATGTCTTTGTAAGCACAACACCTGTAACTTTAATTGGTTTTGTGCCATAAAATGGTTGACGGGTAGCTGAGGGTGATTCAGCTTCCATGATAACCTGACCCAGTATTGATTATCTTTGTAGAGAACTGAGCCTAGTTATTGTTTGTAAGTTTAGTCGTCATCTAGACTAGGTAGTTCAGGGACAATGCCGAGAGTTGCCAGGTCCCATAGTTTATGAACAGGGGGATCAAGCTCATCCTCAGACATGTCTCTGAATTGCAGTGGAGACTGTTCTAGTCATGCAACCATTACTGGGTTGGCATGTTGGTGGTCTACAGGTGCGGGTTGCTTTAATCGTAATACTGGGCCTGTTAGCAAATAGCCACCTGCAGATGGCAACAAGTTCATACCTTGTTTCTCTTCCTTTCCTTTGATAAACTTATGGTAGACATCTGATCCTAACAGGATCTTGTATCTAGGTTCAAAGAACCAAAGCTATGTGGGAAAATCCTAGCAAGCTTTAATTGTCTTTATTCTGTGAATATTCAAATATTTACTTTATTTTTATTTTTTAATTGACTTTAATATTATATTATTTTTATTTGATTATTTTTCTTCTGAGTTAGTTCCTAATTAGTTAGTAGTGGACTGTATATATTTTGATTCAGGCTGCTAAAATATTTCACACACAGTTGGGGGGACAATTTGTAGCTTAAACCACTTTGAGGTGGATCCTTCATAGACCACAAATTGTTTACCTAGTCTTTAACATATAAATTATAAATCATACCACATATGGTGGTCTAATCTACTGTAATTATACTTATAGTTAATCTATCTACAGTATAAAATAAAAGGGGGGCCTTAGCTGATACTGTTGGTGGGGATTGCTAAGGCTGTGTAATTGTAGGATCAGAATTGGGTGTGGACCTGTGCCTCAGAGTGTCACATAATGGTGGTTATCTGGAGGCCTACAAGGCTTGATGTATAGCTAGTGACTGCAATCACAGTTATATTGGTCTGCTCAGCTTCTTGTAACTCAAACTCACAGTTACCTGCCGAGTGTAAGGAATTAATAATGGTTCCCTAAACATATAAGTATGACATGGAATATGTCATGTATGTATGTGTTATGCCGAGTAAACTCATTTTGTTTTGGGATTTAATCCCATGTCTTAATGATATTTCCTACAATAATAATAATGGCTAGTATTAAATGCAACAGAAATACTGAAAATTGTTCTTCCCTTTGTTCATGAGATCTTCAGTTGGGCAGATCGTAGAGGATCCTGTATCGAAGCTCGGAGAAAGAACCTTTATGTGTTGTTGTTGTTGTTGTTGTTGAGGTTGATTTAGGGGCGACGACAATCGTGGGATCGGATGCGCCCCAGCGTACCCTTTAAGGGTGAATCGCGAAGCCAGGAAAGGTGAAACGCCAAGCCAAAATGCTAAACGAGTGACGCCAATCACTAGAAACTAATAAGCCATACAGCAAATAAACGCACAGTCAGGCAGATGATTGGGGAGTCCCAGGAGTCCCTCAGGGTGACAAGCACCGGCCCCGCTCCACACAGAGAACACCAGCTAGGTAGCAAAACCAAAACTCTGTCCCCAACTAAAACGCAAAAAGTCATCCAGTGTCCTCCGGCAGAGCAGAAGCCAGCCGCCCACCACAGCTGAGGGCATACCAGGAACCCACCAAGACCCGCCAACCCCCTGCACCTCTAGGCCAAGCCAGACCCCGAACACCGTCACCTCACCGGGAGAACCAGCCAGAACATGCAAAAAAAAATCTATCAACAATCCCATGACCCAAGGCGATATGTGCGCCAGGCGTCATACAATTGGACCGTTGAAGACGGATGCCAAACGGCAGTAGCAAAGCCAAAACGCAAAAACAGGATGTGATCCAGCGGCTCCCAGACGGAGGAGGTAACCAGACGTCCACTCGGCATCTAGGTTGAACCAGGAGTCCAACCTTTATGTGTTGTAAAATTTGTCAGGGAGTGCTTCCTCACTGTGTTTACAAGTTGCAGTTGTGAATGTGATGTCTCCTTTGGGGAGACGTCCTAAATTATTTGGTGGTTCTATTTATGATTAAGGAATAGAAAGTTAAGCTATATTCCTGGTGTTGGAAATCATATTCTGTCCTAGTGAACACTTTTTTATTAAGTATAAATAATAGACTGAGGTTTAAAAAGAAATGAGAAATATAATATATGGCTTGTTGAATGACGTCACAGAATACCCGTTCTCATTTTCTTTAATGGGTAACTTATGTTATTATGTATGTCGGATTTTCCGACATCAACCACTATAACCATCAACAACCACTATCACCATCACCACTGACCACCACAACTATCAAATGTTACGTGTCGTAGTCTAGCAAGGCTCGTGTATCTATCAGCACTGGTTCATACCCAGCAAACATTTTCACGTTTTTAAAACGTTCTAAAAACGACATTTCATTGTTTTCAGCACGTTTATAATTACGTTTTAAAAATGTTTTTTGAGAATTTTTTTATACGACCTTAGAACGTAAATAAATAACATTTAAAAAACCTTTTTATAATCTTTTAATTACCTACATTAAAACATTTAGGGTAAATCAGGGTATAATAATTTTTTAAATTATATCTGAAATAGAAAGGGAGAGAAAGAAAGAAGACATATCTGAGAAAGAAATGGACATCCTATATATGTACGTGTAAATTACAAATAAATAGGGTACAAAAAGAGAATTAAAATATTATATTTATTTAAGATTGAGTAATACAACAAAATATATGTAATAGCTCGAAATATATAGACTATATCTATAATAGAATATAAAAGTAAAAATCTATATAAGCAATATGTGAACACAATAGATTTCGTGATCAAGCAGCCTGTGATTCATGTCATGCTGAGTGAGATCAGCCTGACGTTACAAGCAGTTATTGTTACTTAAAACTAAAACAAGTAAAATTTCCCGAGTATACATATAACATTATAGTTTTTCTGTGACTAAAAATAAAAATCTATAAATCAAAAGTTTAGGACTAATTAACTAAAAATAAAAATCTACAAGTGAATGTAAACACAGTCAAGTATAATATTCATGTAGAAAGAGAAAGAAAGAGAGAAAAGAAAGAGAAAGAAAGAAAGAAAGAAAACAAAGGAGAAAGAAAGAAAGAGAAAGAAAAAAAAGAAAGATAGAAAGAAAAGAGAGACAAAATATATATTATTCAAGAGAACTTGACAATTAAGCACCTTCAAACAATTCATGATCAAGCAGGCTGTGATTCATGTCATGCTGAGATCAATCTGACGTCACAAGCAGTTATTGTTACTTAAAACTAAAACAAGTAAAATTTCCTGAGTATACACTATATACTATATAACATAACACTATAGTTTTTCTATGACTAAAAATACAAATTATAAATCATTTATTCAAATGTTAGCACCATGCAAGAAGAGAGGAGACAGAACAAAATTAAGGCAAGGGGAGAGAAGACAGAATAGAAACAACAGAGAGGGGAGAGAGAAATGAGAGAACATTGAAGAGAAGGGGAAGAGAAAGACAAGATAAGAAAAAGATACAAGATAAAAACGACGCAAGTGAATTCCACAAATGTAAAAAGTAAAGGAAGAGAGAAGCTAGAAGAGACAGAAAACGAGAGGTGTTAGAAGAGAGGAGGAAAGGAGAGATAAAAAGAGACAAGAAAAACAGGAGAGAAACGTAAAAGAAATTAAAACAAAAGGGACATTTGTGAGGAGAGAAAATAAAGAGACCAGAGAAGACCAAATATCAAGAGTGAGGATAAACACTTAATTGTGAATTTTCTTAGTAGACATCCTCTGCCTCTTGTTGCCCCTCTTGTATACGAATCGTACTTGCAAGTTTTCCCTGAAAAGATATTAACAAAATTAATTAATATTTATTTGTTTATATAAATTACACACACACAAATATATATATATATATATATATATATATATATATATATATATATATATATATATATATATATATATATATATATATATGTATATATGTATATATATATATATATGTATATATATGCGGAAAATCCACAGAGAAATATGAAATGAGGTGAACGTTTCGGCTTTGTTAAAGCCTTTGTCAACACCAGACTGATTGAGTCTGGTGTTGACAAAGGCTTTAACAAAGCCGAAACGTTCACCTCATTTCATATTTCTCTGTGGATTTTCCGCATAAAATGATCAGTGTTTTGTGATCGTCAATTGCATGTATATATATATATATATATGAGGGAAGGGGATGTTCCCTCCATGCTGGATATTGTATTTACCAGGAAAGAGGAGAGATTTATCATTCAGTACCTCCCTCCCTTGGGTAAAAGTGACCATGTCTTTTTGGGACTAAAGTATGCAATGCATTATAATCTGGAAGAAAATGAGCTTGAAGCAGTTGAAAAACCTGATTTGTGGAGAGGTCATAATGGGGAACTCAGATATTTCCTTAAGGAATTTGACAGAAACACTTGCTGTTAAGACATTAGGACATCTTCGGACATTAGGACATCTTCAGAATGAGTGGATTTACAGGTCGAGAACTGGACATAAATAGGCAGGAGAGAATGGTGGAGTGAGGCGAGGTACAATACGTGGACACTGCAGAGGGCCTATTGGCCCATCCGATGCAGCAACCACACACAGGCCCAAACATAGATTGGGAGATGGCTTCTTCAATAATGAATTGTAAAAGTACTTATAACAGAAACATAATTGGATCTGCTTTGATACAGATCACAAAAGAAAGTAAATTGAACATTAGCAGCGGTTTATATAACTTAGATCCATTTTTAATAGATCAATTAAAGGGCGATTTAAGTAGGATCATTGGAACACATTTGTCTCACTAATTCATTGTAAATATTTACTATTTTATGCTATGATTATCCATGTTTGGGCCTGTGTGTGGTTCCTGCATCGGAAAAATTCTTGTTTCAATTTTCCTCCGTGGTCTGACACTGACTATCTATCTATCTATCTATATATCTATCTATATATCTATATATATATATATATATATATATATATATATATATATATATATATATATATATATATATATATATATATATGTCGTACTTAGTAGCCAGAATGCACTTCTCAGCCTACTATGCAAGGCCCGATTTGCCTAATAAGCCAAGTTTTCATGAATTAATATATTTTCTCTAATTTTTTTCTTATGAAAAGATAAAGCTACCCATTTCATTATATATGAGGTCAATTTTTTTTATTGGAGGTAAAATTAACGTAGATATATGACCGAACCTAACCAACCCTACCTAACCTAACCTATCTTTATAGGTTAGGTTGCGTTAGATAGCCGAAAAAGTTAGGTTAGGTTAGGTAGGTTAGGTAATCGAAAAACAATTATTTCATGAAAACTTGGCTTATTAGGCAAATCAGGCCTTGCATTGTAGGCTGAGAAGTGTGTTCTGGCTACTAGGTACGATATATATATATATATATATATATATATTTATATATATATATATATATATATATATATATATATATATATATATATATATATATATATATATATATATATATATATATATAAACAGATAATTAGTGAAAAAAAAAAAATTTAAATGATTTTACCTTGTACATAGATCCACCAGGCCTGTTTGGAGCATGTTTAAGTACTTCAGAAATTTGAAAGGTCACGTCTTCCACCTTAACTTGCGGATGTGCGTTGATAGATGATTCTGTAAAATTAACAGTTATTTATATAACAAATTCTGTATAACAATAATATTCTGTAAAATTAAAAGTAATTTACACATCAGATAAAACTCTCCAGAGATGGTGATACACAACATATAAAAGACAAGTTTCAGAACAAAATATGCATTTAGGAATAAGGTTTCGTACATGTAGGTAGCACATGAGAAAAAAAGTGGAAGGTGATCAAGTTTATATTAACATGTTAACGGCTTTATTGAGGCTTTGCAAGAATGAAAAAATATTACTAATATAATCTCACCGACCAATGAATTGTACGTTGTTTAAAAGTCAATTATTTACATTATTATTATTATTTAATACTAATGATATGAAAATGCATTTTGCAATCTACTATTTATGCAAGTATTAACCACAGGATCATGAAATAAACTGCAAAATACTGTAAAGGATAAACCAATTAAGTTTACATTTTCCCATAGCTAAGTCAGTCAGTTCTACAGTACTAGCAGCAGAGAACAATTATGACCAACCTCTATTAAATGAAACAATCTTAAGAGCAAGTGATAGAAATATAAATCATTTATACTTAATTTGAACTTAAAATTTTAATTTTTTAGTGAATTTTAAATAAAAAAAAATATTTAATTTTTTTGTTACTTACTTAAAATAACATTATATAGTTCTTGTTTTTCTAGAAATGCTAATTTCTTCTTTTGTCCTTTTAGGCTGTATAATGACCAAAGGCCGTTTGTTCCTATCTTCTTCATCATTCTTCGAACCGTAGTTGCACAATCAGATCCACGTACACTGGTTACAAGCAACACCTAAAAGCAACAACAAAAATGTAGTACACTAGTAATTTTGATATATGTATGTATATATATACTCAAACCAATTCTATTTGCTGACGACACAACCTTCATTTACTCCAGTCCTGACCCCCTTGCTCTAAATGCCACAGTAAATACTGAGCTAGAGAAAGTCCATCTTTGGCTAACTGCCAACAAACTCACCCTTAACATTGACAAAACGTTTTATATTCTGTTTGGCAATAAATCCTCTAATCAGATAAATCTCAAAATAAACAATACCCAAATTTGTAACAAATTAGATGGCAAATTCCTTGGCGTTCTCATCGACCACAAGCTGAATTTCCAGGGTCACATTCTAAATATATCAAAAAAAAGTTTCAAAAACTGTTGGCATTCTTTCTAAGATCAGATATTATGTACCCCGCCCTGCCCTGGTTACTCTCTATTACTCCCTTATCTATCCATATCTCAACTATGGTATTTGTGCTTGGGGCTCTACTACCCAAAATCACTTACGTCCTCTATTTACTCAACACAAAGCTGCTATTAGGACAATATCCAATTCTGGCCCCAGACATCACTCGGTACCCCTATTCAAATCCCTGAATATGTTAGACATTAAGTCACTGCACATTCTCTCATGTGTACTATACATATACAAACGCTAAATTGTAATGCCAATCCTGATCTCAAAAGCTTCATAGAAGGTTGTAACAGAACCCATGAGCACCACACCAGAAATAAATACAGTTTTGATATTCCTAGAGTACGACTTAATCAAACCAGAAATGCTCTACAAATCAAGGGCCCAGGATGTGGAATGACCTTCCCAACCATGTTAAAGACAGTACCTCTCTCAACCAGTTTAAGATAAAAACTATACACTACCTAATAAATTCCCTGTAACCCACCTCACTCCTTTATTGTCAACCCATGTCTGTTATTTTATTTTATTATTATTATTATTTTTTAATCAACACTGTTTGTCAACCTATTGTATTTGTGCTGCTTTTTCAGTCATGTTCCCCCTTTTTTTATCTTTATTTGTATTTGTTTTCAACACTTTTTATTCTTTATGCTCAATTAGTATTAAGTTCTAGATATTAATGTTTTTCTTGCCCGAAACGCATTGCGTAATAGTGGCTTTAGGCATTGTATGTACTAGCTCTATCTATATATCAATCCATTAATGTAACATCACTTGTATGTATGTACCTTACCTGAATAAACATATTTATTTATTTTATTTATTTATGTATGTATGTATGTATGTATGTATGTATGTATGTATGTATGTATGTATGTATGTATGTATGTATGTATGTATGTATGTATGTGTGTATGTATGTATGTATGTGTATGTATGTGTATGTATACATATACATATATATATATATATATATATATATATATATATATATATATATATATATATATATATATATATAATATATATATATATATATATATATATATATATATATATATATATATATATTGGTGTATACTGGCAGCAGGTTTTCTTTCAAACATGTTTCATTGAATATGACCGCATATTCTGTATTTATTATTTTCTGGTTTAGGGCTTCTATCCCTCTAACTATTTTCTTAGCATCAGGGCTTAATTGAAATAGGAGTTCTGCAAAACTCATTTTCGTACTTTTAAGGTGAAGAAAAGAAGTGATTTACTATAGAGTGTATTACACTTATTTATATAATTTGCACGACGTTTCGAACCTCCATGGTTCATTCTCAAGTGAACAGATCTTACAATACTCTTAGAGAGTTCTCTTAGAGTTAGTTCTCTTAGAGAGAACAACAAGAGAAAACAAGAGAAATGTTTCTAACAAGAGAAATGTTGAACAAGAATACTTGCATAATAGACAAAACCCAAGATGCAAGAAGATTACAAATTCTTGAGGCAATTCACATAAGAATAGAGCGACCTACCATGAACACCCAAATCACGGAACTATTTACTCTACCTACCATGAGAGTAAGGACAAGACAAGAACATATCGATGCCAACACAGAAGACAATGTCCAACATAACATGCCAATTACACTGGATTAATCTTTGTTTAGATTGGAGATGCCTCGTATGGGCCAATAAGCCTTCTGCAGCCTCTATGTTTCACCTCACATTTATCCCTTATGTATCCCCCCATATTTTCACCTTCATTGTATTATCACCTGACCCAGTGCGGGTATAAAATCAACTAGTATTGTAAGATCTGTTCACTTGAGAATGAACCATGGAGGTTCGAAACGTCGTGCAAATTATATAAATAAGTGTAATACACTCTATAGTAAATCACTTCTTTTCTTCACCTTAAAAGTACGAAAATGAGTTTGGAGAACTCCTATTTCAATTAAGCCCTGATGCTAAGAAAATAGTTAGAGGGATAGAAGCCCTAAACCAGAAAATAATAAATACAGAATATGCGGTCATATTCAATGAAACATATATATATATATGTCGTACCTAGTAGCCAGAACGCAATTTTCGGCCTACTATTCAAGGCCCGATTTGCCTAATAAGCCAAGTTTTCCTGAATTAATATAATTTCTCTAATTTTTTTCTTATGAAATGATAAAGCTACCCATTTCATTATGTATGAGGTCAATTTTTTTATTAGAGTTAAAATTAACGTAGATATATGACCTAACCTAACCAACCCTACCTAACCTAACCTAACCTATCTTTATAGGTTAGGTTAGGTTAGGTAGCGGAAAAAGTTAGGTTAGGTTAGGTTAGGTAGGTTAGGTTGCCGAAAAACAATTAATTCATGAAAACTTGGCTTATTAGGCAAATCAGGCCTTGCATAGTAGGCTGAGAAGTGCGTTCTGGCTACTAGGTACAACATATATATATATATATATATATATATATATATATATATATATATATATATATATATATATATATATATATATATATATATATATATATATATATATATATATATATATATATATATATATATATATATATATATATATATATATATATATATATATATATATCATAACTTATGATAAGGCATCTTATCATAAATAACATCTCAACAAAAATCACATCATTCTAGGAGGTGATTTCAATATTGACCTGGGTCTACAAAATAACCCTCTAGTTGACTATTTCCATAACAGCATGTAATCCTCTATGATAATCCCCACAATCACCAAGCACTAGACCAAAGTTCTCAAGTCAAGCCTAGCCTCGGGCCGGGCTTGGGGAGTAGAAGAACTCCCAGACCCCCATCAAGCAGATAAGTGTGTGTGTTATGAAGAGATACATCTCAACGACTAACAAAATTAGCAAGAGAAATATAGTCGTTGAAATGTAAGCCTCATCCTAACCATACACTCAAGACCTTGAGAAAGCACTCAGGAGAGTGTGAAAGACTCTGTGTTAATATTACATAATTTACAAATACATAAGTGTTATATTTTATCCTATCCTATATAAACAAGATTATATCATTATTCTTATTATTTAGCAATTTTATCTTTTCTGCATGAACTATCAAAAAATTTAATTTGAAAATTAGCAAATATCTGTAATATTTAAGATGAAAAATTGAAGGAAACATTACTGTTAAAATACCACTTACAAATTTTGTTCTGAAACTCGATTCCGCTAACTTCCTATTGAGAACATTAAGATCACCTTCTGCAGCAATAGGATTTGGTATTAGATCTTCTATGATCTTGTCTGTTTCTTTTGTAGTCAAAGTTGCTTTTAATATCTTCACATCACTTTTCAGTTCATTCACATCACTTTTCAGTTCATTCACTTCAGTGTATATGGCCTGCAACATGTTACCTGGAAATTTATACAGTATATAGAAAGTGTACATGCTATTATATTACATATCTTGAATGTACATTTAAAATAAAAGCATTATAAAGTATATTTTAAAATAACTGACACTGAGAAAGCACCCAAAAAGTAGGCTATGACTGATGTGATAGATAATGGGATAATTTCTTAGTAATTATGAAACTGCTTATATAATTGGAAGCAAATTCAGCAATCTAACCTGCTCAGTTTGCAGTCTACTTGAACATGAAACTTATGCCTATCACCCATAGGGTACATATAGGTTATAGGCTACATAATAAATTAATTAAACTTTTAAAACTTACTCATATTCTGCATCATTTCTTTCAAACTCCTATCGTTCTTGTCTGGTGACTTTGGGTCGAATAAATTCCTTGACCTTGGAGTCCTAACGACTGAAGTACTTGGCGTGACCAGCTCATTGTCTTTAAGATTGCAAGATTTAGCTATTAAAATCTAACTACTGTACTGTATAATCAACAAATTTCATGAGCTTTTACTACTGCATACTAATATTATAAGTTATACTATATGTCTACATCACATTTAAACTACCCAACATCAGAAAGAGGGTGAGCCAACATCAGAGAGGCGGGGGGGGGTTATCATGAGAGAGAGGAGGGCCAACATGAGAAGAGAAGAAAAAAGAAAAGAAAGAAATAAATAAAGAAAAAGAAAGAAAAGAAAGATAGAGAGACATACAGAGACAGACAGACACATACACACAGAATAAGAAGAGGTGACAGAACAAAATTAACAAAACAAATTTCAACATGAGAAAAGGGAGGTCAACATGAGAGAGAGAATGAGGGTCAACATGAGAGAGTGGGTCAACATGATATATATTTTAAATAATTACTTATTACCTTCATGAAGAAATACTGATGGCGTCAACGGTGTATTGTGAAGTGTAGTCTTCACTGGAGACTGCTTTTGTAGGACTGTTCTATTAGATGAAAAGGAGTTATGTTTATTTCAAACACTTTTTAACCAAATAATATTTTTAAGACTTTAATATAGTTTGAACTAACATGAGAGAGGTGGGGGTCAACATGAAATACACATTTTAAAAATTAACTTATTACCTTCATGAGGAAATACTGATGGCGTTGAAGGTGTATTGTGAAGTGTAGTCTTCACTGGAGACGGCTTTTGTAGGACTGTTCTATTAGCTGAAAAGGAGTTATGCTTATTTCAAACACTTGTTAACCAAAATATATTTTAAGACTTTAATATAGTTTGAACTAACATGAGAGAGGTGGGGGTCAATATGAGATACATATTTTAAAAATTAACTTAAGGTAAGGGACAAATTAACACGTAAGGTAAAGGTAAGATAAAGGACAAATTAACACGTAAGGACAAACAAAAAGAAAAGTAATAACAAACCTGCTTGTTTCTAGTGACTAGATCAAAGGAAAACCAAAATTTCCCTGAACTGTGACAAGTGAAAAGCACCTGCTAGACAAAGTGGAAAAGTTCACTAGACCCCATATGCACATAAAAGAATAATATACTTAATATTAAACAATTAGAAATAAACACATATTTCTATACAGAAATTCCAGATAAGCATAAAAATTACTCAAAGCTTCTAGTACTTCCAGAAGGAATTAAAAAAAAAAAAAAAAAAAAAAACAGCAAGAACTAAGTTTAGAGCAGTTTTTAGTTTTTTTTAAACCAAAGCATAAATAACCAAACAAAGGAAGCATAGTTAAATATCAATTTAGAACTTTTAATGTTATTTACTACTAATCCTTACATTCACTTAATATACCAGAATAATATGGTATTTGCGGAGGACTTATTTCTTTTGAAGGTGTATTCTCATATGAAGATGGCGAACACTTCTTCTTGGATTGAGACGAGTGATGATTGCCTGAAATTATTTAAATTGCTTAATGTATTGAATGGCATTTTTCAAGTTGCAAATTTTTTTTAAATTACTGTAGTAGGTTATCAATGCTTACGTTTGTTATTCTCGGAATTCTCTTCTTCATATTTGAAGCATGGTTTCCTTTTTCGTTGTCGAGGATAGCCCATATCGTCTTCAGTTTCGACATTTGAAGTGTCTTCCGCAGCTAAGCATCTTCGTTTTGCAACGTCAAAATCATCTGTAATAATTGAATATAATTAGTAATATATCAGCGAGATATATATTTATCGTTACCTAGTAGAGTAGTGAACACTAAGAAATAACTTAAATCAGCTTCCTAAAGAGATGTTTAATAAAACGACGTACATGATTGGAACTTATAACTGGGGCACAAAAGTCTTAAGTAGCTATGAGGAAACCCATCTTGTGATTAAAATATAATTATAATGCTGTTTTTGTCTGCAGTGTTAAAGTTATGGTGAATGAATGAATAGGTGTCTTGTATCTTAAATCTTAATAATTATAAATTTAATACCTACCAGTTGTTGATACGACATGCACTCGCCAATTTGTCGTGTCTGGCTTTTCGTGATTTTGGGCACTAACTGTATGCCTGCTCTGTGGCCACCAGCACAATATTTTTTCCTGAAAAGTCGAAATAAACTGTTACATGCTAATTTTAGCACTAATTTGGAATATTTTTAAAGCAACTCAATATATGCAATTTTTTAGTTTCAAAGTAATGCTTACATCATTGTGTTCTGCTTACAATGCTTATGATGCTAGTAATACAATGCTAGTAATGCTTACAACAACCTTATCATTGTGTTCATTGCTGTCTTCTTTTATGTGCTAGCCATATGCTATATTGTGACTACCAATTTTTGTCAACTACCATTCAAGCTGTCATTGCAATCAATCTTATATTTTTTCTGCTGTATTGTGCCTACCAATTTGTTG